GGAGACCAGTATGGAAGAAGATATGTCCTGTAAAATTAAGAGACTTTGTTGCATTTTAATTTTGTATTTGTAAATTCTGTACATTTAATTAACTTATTGTTCATTATCTATTGGTTTAATGTAAGAGGCTATTGTTCGGGACAAATAATACTAAGGAAGGGGCAGTGTTATGACAGCGGAAGTACGCGACACTGCGAGCTGCACGATGGAATATTTCGAAGGATCATGAAGGCCTGAGTGCATTCGAGAAGCCCTCTTTTTGTGTATAAGCCTCGCGAGAAAAACTAAATCTATAATTTACTAAAACCTTACCAAATTTAATGAAGATACACATAGTACATTCAGAGTATAGTATGGTCTTACACTTGCAATGTATGCCAAATTCATGATTAGTATTAATGATATTGTACAAAAAGTACAAGACAGTGTATGAAAGAAAAATTGCCACAATACTTTAAAGAACAACAAAGATATTAAGAATACAGACAACAATCATATATATTTTTGGCTTCATATTCTTATTCAAATTGTTTGTCAACTTTCTGATAAAAGCACTAATTTTTTCACTCACAATACAGTTAAATAATCAACAAGATATGAAATAATTAACACTATAGCTTAATAAACACACAAGTATACCTGTACTTCACTTAACTGACTATACAAACACATATCCACACAAAATATCTGAACTTACCAGTAATTAACATCAATAACAATAAAGATGATGTTACATGTGCCACTGAAGAATCAATTAAACAAGTGAATTTCTTTATCATCAACTGCTTTAAAATATGATGAAATCTCCTGGTTATGAAACTTGTCAAACTCCAGAAGTTTACGAATACTGAATCTTCGAAATTTTTTTAGTGGTTTCTCTGATAAAACTGAAGGCTCAGAATCAGCACTCAAACTTGTGTGAGAGTTCTTTTCACTAAGATTGGTTTTAGTTGCAGGATTGTTAAAAACTAATTTAAGCAACTCTGAATCTGAGTGAGAAACTTGACTGAAATCTGGTGTTGATTGAGAATGAAGCAACTTTTTGGTCCTCTGCAACTTTCGTTGAGGTAATTTTGATCGATACAGCTTATTTTCTCTAGATTTTAGTCCTAAATTATAACAAATCTCTTCTATATCATCAGCTGTAAACCCAACTACTCTACTTTTTGGTGACTCATCAATTTCCATAATGCCATTTATTCGATTTTCTTTTAAGTTACCTGTTACAAGTGGACATGTTACTTGACATTTAGATTTACTTTTATCTTTACCATATTTAATTTTCTTTTTTTCTTTTTTTCACTTGAATCCTGAACATGAGGAATACCTTTATTTTCAGAAACAAATGCCATTTTCCCCTCTTGTTCTAATGAAAAGTTTATTTTTTTTGGCTTGGTTTTTTTGCTAGGATTATCTTCTGTGCTATTTTTCCAGGATAACTGGTTGTTTATTTTGCTTAGTGGCTGAACTAGTTTTCTATAACACATTTCAAATTCTGTTGGTGACTGTTTCCTACTCTTCTTTGATGAGACACATTTCAATTTGATTTTGTGTCTGGAAATATATTGCTCATTATATGATGTAAGACTTTCCTGAATTAATGGGGATTCGCTGATACTTCCTGCTGTATCCTTTAATTTCTTTAGGGTGAGATTATTATAATCTCGAGAAAAACAGATGCATTTTTCAGGATTTTGTCTTTTACAAACATTTAGGACAGGAAAGCTTACTTTCTTATTACTATTTTCTGAAAGTTTCTCTGTCTTTAAATGGTGTATTGTACTTTTGAAATTTTCTTCTACATTTCCATGGTTTTCAAGCTCTTGTAAAAACAATTTAGTCAACACTTTAGAAGAACTGTATTTTTTTACTTTCCCTTTTCTGGGTTTGGACCCTTCACTGATCTTTCGATCTTTCCTCCCAGTTTGTTTTATTATAGATTTCTTCATTTTTTCAGACCAAGAAGATGACAATGAACTTGATCCTGAATTTACTTTAGAGCTAGAGCTATTCTTCTGTGCACTAGATATAAATTTACCTGAATTTGGTACATCACTAGTGCGATAATTCTCATGACATATTTTAAAAGAAGTATACTGTGATGTTGATTGTCTTGAAATAAAAGGACTTGAATGTTTCTTTCTTTTCATTTGTTTTAATTTTAAACTTAGCCTTACAGATCTTTCATTTGTTGATTCTTCCACAGTTTGACCAAAATTTGATGAACTGTCTGTGTCATTCACATTAGTTACCAGATTGTTTTTATGAAAACATTTACAGTTGTTTGAGATAAATTCCTTGTAGCTCTTACTTGACTTTTCTACTGTTTTCTGTTCTTTTTTTAATCCACTTCTTTGGCTTTTACACTTAGCTTTCTTTTTATCTCTTTTTCTTTTAAGAGAAAGATTTCCCCTTGGCTGAATTTCACTTTTTTCAACAGAAGTTTCTTTATCTGAATCAGAATTATGACGTTCAATATACAACCAATCACAAATTTGTGAATGTTTCCTTGCTATACGATTCCTGCCTTTTACCAAGGTTGATTGGTTTTTCTTGCACCTTTTTGATGCTAAACCAATATTACTATTCAATCTTGATGCAGTTTCACTGGCTAATTGTGAATCACTAGTTATCGTACAATTTTTAATACCTTCTTTTAATTTGGCTCTAAAAATCTTACTTGTTGCTTTGTTACGAGTTTTTTCAATGTCACCATCTAACTGAAGGTTATTTTCTACTGAAAAGGTTCTCTTGGAAGATTGTGAAAATCTTTCACACATATGATAATCAAGTGCTTCATTCATCAATAGAAGATGTGGAATTAAAAACTCATAACCTGAGTAGTGATTTAGAAAACAGTAAAAAGAAAGATATTTCACATGAAGCATTTGGTTAATTTAAAAAGTAGGTTTACACAGTGTGAAATTGAAACTCTACCAACAAGTAAGTGGATAAAAGAAGAGCTGGATGTCTTGTCAATTTTGTTTTTTCTTGTTGTTTCATAATTTTTTTGACATGTATAATTATTTGTTTTGTTCCATCTTGTAACGTAGGTAGTTAAAGAAAAAGACAATGAGATATCAGGAAGAAATGACAAACATGTGGAAGTTTATCCTAGTGGTGCCTGTTTTGATTCACACTTGAAATATTCTCCATCCATCTCTTTGAACTATGCCAAAAGTGATCATGTTAATCAGCCGTGGTTTCTTTGTTAAGAAGTATAATGAAATGAAAGTTTGTGGTGTCTATTAGATGCACAAAAGGTGGTTTGTTTGCAGAGTACAATTTTATTTTAATACTTTTTCCAGGCTAGTATAGTGTTTGAATTTTTACTTTGTTTTTAACTTTAAATGTAAATTTATGTGAAACTATTCTAGCTTAAGTTCAAGAATCATATTTAACCCAAAGAATCTTTAAAACAGTAGTAATTATAAGTCATTCAACTAAAAGAAACTGTATATCAGAAAACAGTATCTTGAGTTTTGATATTTTTAAAGAAGCTTAGTTTGTACAGTAGATTTATATAATTTGAATGGTTATAGTAAATGATAAGGTTTTAACTGTCAGTTATTAGCATTGTAAACAGAATGTGTGTCTGCACTCCACTAGACATTTCATTTATATGCCATTCCCACAAAATATCTCCAAAAAAGTGATGTCTCTTCACTAATCATGATTTATAACTATCAATTTAATGATAAACACACTTACAATATGTTTGAATGATTCATTGCTGTGGTGTACAACTTGAAGGAGGAATTTTCTGTTTTTCTTTCTTATTATTTCCTTAATAAGGGCCAAACCCCTTTCAGCATTGACATTTACCACTTTCAAGTGTTGAACTGTTTGTAGTGCCTCCCTGTATTCCTCTGAGCTGCCATTTCTAGGGATCATATTCCAGTAATCCAAATGGAATTTTGAGGCATCTGAAGAAATATGTTGTGTTCTTTGTGGTGAAATCTTCAGTTAAAATGTCCACAGACTTCTTTATATTCAGCTAGATGTAAAATTTCAACTACATCGAACAACCCCTAAATGTTATTCAATATAGATAAAACTTGATGTGAAGTACTCATTTATAATATTGGAGCAAAATGATGGGTGGAATGTTGTAATCCAAAGCTTCAGAAATAAGGACCAGTCTAATGTATAATTATTTTGATGATTTTTAAAACATTTTAAGAATAATGCTGAGTTTAAACTGCATTTGAAGTTTTAAGGAAACTCTTTATAGTTTTAAAGTTTTATTGGAACATTTTTAATATTTGAGGTTTAAATATTTGTTTTTATCTTTAACCTTTACTAAGCTCCAGTATATCATTTCTCAGACACTTATTCCAGTGTGATATGTTGAAGAAATTGGAAGAGAGAAATTTTGAAAACCAAAGAACTACCACAAGAAAGTTTGGAATCTGCTAATGTAACTTCACAAAAAAGATTAAAGACTTAAAAAACAACTTTCAAGTCTAAACTGAGCATTACAACAAAGAGTAACAACTCTGCATCACCATCTTCTGAAGACTTGTTTGATCATACTTCAAACTGGTGCTCCATCTCGGGTTCAGATAATTTTAAAATGGAAAAAAGTATGGATAAGAAATGTTCCAAAAGGACTCAAAAAGATACAGATGTTACCACAAAACTTCCATCTTATAAACTACCAAAAACTTCAGTAACATTAAATTTTGAGCATCATCTAATTAAAAAGTCTAAAGAAAGTTTTTCTGGTTATTCCACCCACCCATTTTCTCAGTCAAACCTTGGAAAGGTTGAAAAGTTAGGAAAACATAAGAAAATTAAAAGGAAGAAAGTTTTTTCACTCACAGACAATGACAATCAACTTTTATCATCTCAACAGGCAATAACATCTGTGGCAAAGAATCATGAAATAATAGATAATAGCTCTACAATAGAACTTAGCATCCTTGATTATTACACAGCAGACAACAGAAGAAAACACTCTAGACCCAAGAAAAGAGAGGAAATATCACCAGTATCTGAACTTTCACCTCTGACACTTAAACATCAAAGACAGTTAAAAGTATGTATAATCTGCCCTCAGGTTAATTACTGAATTATAGAAGACAGTTTCCTAACAGCAAAAATAAAACAATAACAATGGAAGTGACTAACTACACCAAAATCATATAACTATGTAATTATACTACTGTACATACAATAAAATAAATAATTTATAATGCATAGCAAATAAGTTTTATATTACACAGTACATATGGTGCGAAGCCAATGCAGTCTAGAACTTCAACCTTATTGAGAAACATCGAAAAATAGACAAAGTTTCACACTTAAATGTATCTTTTTGTCCACTGGAACAAAATTATTGGGTGAGATCTTTAGAACTTTTAAACTGACATTTTACCTCCAAATAAGAACCACTAGTACACTTCAATTAAGTTCTTCTGTAATTGAACTAGAAAATGACTGTTGGTAAAGCTGATGCAGACACAGATTATTGAATAGTATTCAGAAATGATTAAGAAAATCAAGAAAAAGTTTCATTAAAGTGTAAGCTCAAACCTAAATGTCTGTTTTGAAGTAGAAAATGTTTTATTTTGGTGTTTAATTATCTTTAGAGGTGGCTGGCTGCAAGACAAATTTTCCATAGCTGCTGAGAGGATAAAAAAAGAAATTAAAAACAGTAGAATAATTTATTAGTTTTAAGCTTAGAAAGTTTTTTGTGACATAATCAACAGTTATCAGATAGCCTTCTTGTGAGGTTCAATATGCCTGAATAAATATATTGATGGTACATTATTTTTATTTCATATCAAAAGTAGCAATATTAGAAGGACAATTGTTTATGTTTTTATTAAATTCTCATGATATGTCTCTTATGAGCTCTCACAATGAAATAAATACTCCTTCTACATTTAGTTAAAACAAATTGTTTCACACTTTATCTTCAATGATTAAATTCTACAAAATTGCTTTACCACAAATGAATCTTCTTTACTTTTTGGACAAAATGAAAAAACTTGTATCCTTTGAAGAGATACCTTTACCTATGAAGTAGCTTCAAACCCCTGAGGTGTTTGAAAAACAGTATCTACAACCGCCTCACTGCCTTACATCCACAGTAGGCGTACTCTCCTTAAAACATATAATGAAATTCATAAAAATGAACAGTGATTACATTGGATTTTTTGCTAACACTGAATAACCTAGCAAACACAAGTAATTAGATTTTCTTGAAAGCTGAGAAGCAAAAATGTTTTCTTTTTCTCAACAGATCTACAAAAATGGTATTGAAACCTTCCAAAAAGATGCAAAAGTTTAAAATTAAAGAATCATCTGAAAGGCAAGTGTGCATCAAAACAATAAAAACACGTCTAAAGAATTATGTCAATGAAACTGCAGCACATTTTCAGTCTTATGTCAGAAAATTAAGATATTCTTCATGAAAAAGTGATATATAATCATTTTTACTTTCATTTCTAGGGTAGAAAGAGGTTCAGGATTAATGTTTCAAGTTACGTACGTTTACCAAGAAAACGAAGATTAGTGTGATGAATTATCAGCTCTCTACTCACCCTACCACAGCTACTGCTGATTAACAAAACAGTTATTCATATTTGCATTACTAAAAAAAGTCCATAAACATTTCATCTTGTCATTTTAACTAAGTTGAATCACAACTTTTCCAATATTCT